TGCATTCGGGGGAAGGAGGAGAGACGGAGAGCATAGTTGGAAGTCTACGGAAGCTCCGGGCTGGATGTCTGGAAAGCGGGCAGGAAACACGGGCTTGGAGCTCCCTCCTCTGTCTCGTCACACTTTCATTCGCCACTCGGAGGCCTACCTCCTGCCGCAGCTAGTGGTCAGGCTTCAAGAGTCTGAGGCCAGAAATTAGATCTTGGCTTGTTGGTGATACTTTCCTCTCGCCTAGACTCCAAAGCGGCCTCCCGGAGGGCTAGGCAGGTCCCTGCTGTGGGCAAAAGGCAGTCTCAGAGCCAAACTTCCCAGCAGGGAAGGTGGCTGTGGGGGTCACGGTGACCCCCGTCCAGGAGTTCCCAAGCTGACTCGGGATGCAGGACACGCGCATGAAAGATGACCTCTTAACCACGGCAGCCCGTGTCTGCAAGAGCCACATGAAGAGTCCAGCTAGCCAGCCCCGTCTGCGCACTCCACCGAGGTCGCCCCAGGTGAAGGCAGGCGGCCCGAAGGCCTGGAGAGAAATGGGGAGAAATCGGGCTACTTGGTGAGAAAGCCGTGTCCTCGCTGATCTTCCAGGAAGAGGGGAATGCTTAGCTCCCCTCGCCTGCCTGTCTTTTGAAAACAGGGCACAGAACCCAAGCTAAGGGAAGGTAACAGGTGGGGCAGCTTATTTTTTTTTTAAAAGGCTCCTCCCCACGCGACTCTAAGGGGCAGCCGGGGCCGAGACCCTCTCTGGTTGACAATTGCTGAAGTTTCTCAAGTCAGTAGCCCTAGCGTAACAGAATAAACCCTCAGGAGAGGAGAGCCCACATGTCAGTCTGGGGACAAGGACAGCCTGGCCAGAGGAAGGACACGATTTATCTCCGAAGAAGAGAAATGCATGAGGAAGCAGCGGGTCCCCATGCAACCCCTCCGCCCTCCAGGGAGTGCAAGCCATCCTGAAGGAGTTGGGGTGGGGGGGGGAGCAATGAGTTCTGAATCCCTTTTAAACAATCCAAGATGCCTTAAACACAGCACTCTCAAAAAGGGGAAAGGAAAAAAAAAGCAATGAGGCCCTCACCCTGTCCCACACTGCTTGTGAGAGGCGGCTTGAGAATATCTGCCATTTCTGCTTCCCCCAATCCAAGCCGGTGGAAGAAGTGGTTTTGAAGGGACCTGGTGATGCTTAATATTCCCAAGTCAGAGAGCATAACCCCAAGAGACACCGGCAGGGCCCCTGGGAAGCACTTCACCGGCTGTAGCTGCTCCAGTCCCCTGTCATTACCCCTCCCACCCCGCCTCATGTGAAGTCCCAAACTCTAAAATTACCGGTAACACGAAAAACTGTGGATTAGTGTCCACGGAACTCCATCTTGTAACACAGTGGCACTCAATGGTACCAAGTGGGGGAAGAGCAGGGAATATCATACCGGCCCCTTGTCAGCTCAGCTGCTGAGAGATGGGCGCATCACCTGGTCATGTCTCCTACCTCCTCAGGGACCAGATCTGAGGAGGAGGCGGCGGAGCTGCGAACCTTACGGCTCAGCAAGTTCAAGAAGGGAGAGAGGTGAGCTTTTCAGAGGTCCACAGTGATTGTACTTCAACCAGGAAGCAGTTCGGTAAATGGATGGAATAGGAAGTGAGATCACACGGCAGAGGGCGTACCATATGGTAGGGGGGTATACTGTCTCAGCTGACCCTGAACCCTCCACAGCTGGACATGATGGCTGCCTCGGACACACAGGAAGTCCAGTACTCAGCGAGGGGGCCCGGAGGGGGGTGCTGACCCCCAGGCCCTCACCTATCCCAGCTGCCTTTGGCCTGGACGTCTGCTCCCTCATCTGGACAGTGTGAGTGAGGTCAGAGGCCTCTGTGCTGTTACAGGACACAGAACGGTAACTCAGTGGTCCACGTGGCTGCCTCCCACACTGGACTGTGCACGTGTCAGATTGCCGAATGCACGGACAGACTGCCAATACGACCGCAAACCCTGCCTGAAACACAGCACTGAGAAAATCACCTCGGAAAGCGAACCAAAGAACACCCCGGAAATTTAACATTCTACATTAAATACATCCACGTGGCTGGCCACCGCTCCCAGGGTTGAGCAACTCTAGGATGTAAGCTGGAACCATGAGAAAATGATTGTTATACGTATTTTCCAGCGTATAAGACGACTTTTGAAACAAAAAAGTCAACCAGAAATCGGGGGCAAAAGACCAAAATTGCGCAAAAAATACCTGCAGATCTCGACGGCAAAATAAGTCTTTTTTTTTTTTTTTTGAAGTGGGGGGTAGTCGTATACAGCCAATATAGGCATAAACCTATATTTTAACCGTAAAAATAGGGGGTCATCTTATACGCCGGAAAATACAGTATGTCCCTACACAGCAGGCCTTCCCTAGTCCTAAACGAGGAAAGGTAAAACCAAGCACATTCCTTACTGAGTGCTTTTAAAAATACTGTGGGTATTCTGTATTTTCCCCTTTAAATATTATTAAAAATATATTTTATTGATTTCAGAGAAGACGGGAAAGGGAGATATTAGTATCCATGATGAGAATCACTGACCAGCTGCCTCCTGCGCACCCCTTACTGGGGATTGAGCCACAATCCCGGCATGTGCCCTTGACTGGAATCGAACTTGAAACCCTTAAATCTGCAGAGGCTGAGGCTCTATCCACTGAGCCAAACCGGCTAGGGCTAAAAATAATTTTTAAAAAACCTCTTGAGACTAATAATAAATAATCCTTCTTTAGTTTACTGCTTAGCTTTTACAGACAGCAAATTATTTAAGAAGCCACATGTAACGACTTAATGTGGCAAAGGCGCGTTTCAAGAACAGGAGTTTGCAATCACGCCCACACACACACCCCTTTTTTCCCCTTTATTTTTCCCAGAGGGCAGTGCTGCAGACGGGAGGATTTCTGAAAGGAGCCGAGAAGCGGCCTGCCGTGTTCGGAAGCAGACGTGGCATCAGGGAAACAACCACTCGGGCACACACAAGTGGCGTTTTGTGATCAAATTTATTTTTTGTTTTAAATTTCATTTACTTCGTTTTACTGTAATTTACACAAGAGACTGCCAAGTAAACTAGACATTTTACATTCACCGCACGTTCCCGCGAATCTCCACAGTTGTTAGGAAAACATTAAAACCCGCGCGCCGGGCTCTCATTTCCAAGCGCCACAGATGCCGGCGAGAGTTAAGTTCATTAAAGAGGAGAGGACGAGACGGTTTATTTCTCGAAATTAGCAATGATCTTCCTCGCATCCGACGCTTTGCAGACAATGATTGCGCAATGACAGAACCCATCTCACAACAGTGCTCGGAGAGTAAACATCGGTCTTGATCCTGAGTACACGGAGGACGTCGCCGGGTGGGGCCTGGGGCTGAGGATCAGGACATCCCGGAGTCACCACGGCCGCTAGGGGGGGGGGGGGGGGGGAGGGGGTTGGGGGGGGACACGGGACATGGGGGGGGGGGGCGCGTGGGGAAGAGCGGTGAGGACTGGGGGGCAGGGCTGTCAGCAAGTCAGACTGCTAATGTGATGTGACTACAGGGGCTGGCGTGTGGCGGGAGGGACGGGAGGTGAAAGAAGACAGTTTGTAACCTGAAGGCTTCAACCATTTCATCCCATTCAAGCTTCCAGGACTGACTGGCGGGAGAGAAAGGCGATTCGGACAAAGCAAGCTGATAAATTCATACCTGGCTGTCCTTCCTTTCTTTAAAACAAAAAGGTGGCAGCCACTTCTAACCAGCATGTCCATGATGCGTGTTCAGGATGTGTACCAATGACATTGTACTTGAGGGCACAGCCAAGGGGGGGGCGGCGGGAGCGGGGGGGCTGGCCCCTCAGCAGGGCCTCCTAACCGTGTGCAGGCAGACCTCACTGAGCTGCCTCTTAAATTCTTCCTATTTCCAAGTCGGCATCTCCTCCTTAAAGTGTTTCAACATGAAAAGAGCAAAAACACCATCGCTATCTAGACTCTATCGTGTGAGCTGTGAGGACTCGAGCTCATTTGCATAGTTTCCAAGCAGTAATTTCAGAAAACAGTCTTTTCCAAAAAAAAAAAAAAAGACTCGGCGGGAGCAGCGCGCTCCCCATTTTTCTAAACAGCCCACAATGCTATTAATCTCTTCATCCATTTCTGTTTGCCTAACAGGAGGCCTGACAATTGTATAGTGTTTATTATACATCACAAACCATCATCTCCATTTTTTTTTTTTTTTGCTATGTCTGATGTAGAAAAATACTTGAAATTTAAAATACAAAAATCCAATAAAAACCGGATTTTTTTTTTTTTTCTTTTAAAAGGATTTTGTCCCTCAGGGTAAACAAGTAAAAACTGGTCTATAACTTCACTCCTTACTTAACAGATATTGTCCAATTTGGCTGTGAGATAATGACCATCCAGAAATAAATCATTATATATACATTCGGCATTTATAGTCCACATTCACTGGAATACCAACAGATTTTTGAGTAAATTTTTTCGTGGGAGTCTGTTGCTTATGAGAATAAAATAAAAATTTTTAAGAGACTGATTTAAAAACAGAAAAGTAATAAAAGGCTATATATATTTACACATATATTTATGTATGTGTATATATATATATATATATATATATTTATATTTATTGGTCCACAACTTGACATTTATGAAACATACCAGCTAGTATTACACGCAGTCAATTTGTCCATTAATGGTATTACTCTGATTATTAAAATCTGTTCCAGGTATATATATTGAAAATATTTTCTTTTGCATTCTTGCTGAAGATAGGTACAGTACTTTGGAGAAATTGTACTAATCCCTTCAGTATGTTTCTATGTACATATATACACAAGTGTGTGTATTCCGATCTGTAGCTCTACGTGCGTTTTATATACAGCTACAGACATACACACACAAACATATATATACACGTGGTTGGGAAGCTGTGCATGTGAGCACACAGTCACAAGCACGTGGCTGGGAAACGCCAACACTGTGAGATCCTGGTCAGATTCTTCTTCACTCATCACTGGCTGCACTTGTGCCCCTCACTTGACCTTGGTTACGTAACTGCAAGGGAAATGAAAGAAGGGCAACGTGTTAACATTCAGAGAGACGCAACAACGTTAGATTATAGCTTGTTGCACACATTCTCCTGAAAACAAACAAACAAACAAACAAACAAACAAACAAAACGTTCAATGTATTAAAACTTTTGACAGAAAATGGACCCCTACTACTGCATTTTAAAAATTTAACCTCTTGAAGATTTTGGTCTTACTAGTACTGATGGCATAACATTTTGTTTCATTGGAGGGAAAGTAAATGAGAAGCTAATACAAATCACAGAAACTTAGAACTTAACAAAAAATAATAAGTCGAATTTTTTTTTTTTTTTTTTTTTTAATGAAACACTGAATTAGGGCTTGGGAGGGATCCTGGCAGGGTTTGGTGCAACTACTTCTTTTCACTACCCAACACGTCAGGTCTCCCATGTTCTATTAACATAGAGCAGGTATTACATGTAAGGGCAGTAACGAACTACATGGAGTGACAAGAATGTCCTGTCTTGTGCTTCTCCTCAATAAACACTGCAGTTCAATGTTAACAGATGTCAACAGTGTACTGTCAGCTTTTGTTTCCTCACACTGGCCTCAATACTGGTAGATTTTGAGGCTCTTGTATCCCCTCTAGAAAAATCTCCAATTTAAGCAAATAAATTTGTGTGAGAGGAATAAAACCACAGACATGTTTTATACTGTGAATAAAAGCTCAAGTAAAAAGCCAACTATGAAAACAACTGAAGGGTCCACATAAAGATGACTTTCTGGTGTTCAGGAAAAAAAAAAAAATTCAACTAAAATGAATTATTGAGGTTGGCCCTCATGGTATGGGATAAAAGGTCTTTGACTTAAAATGCTTTAAAATATTTCCTTACTAACCACAAAAGGTCCCATTGAGAAATAAATCGATTAACTGGCCATCGACAGCTGGTTTCTAACCCAGTAACACTAAGAAGTAGTTAGAAATTACTAAATCCAACCTGCTCCATTTTTATAGAAGACTGTTTACCGTCAATTTCTAAAATATAATCGCTTACATTCCAAAATGTAAACCACATTTAACACTTAGCCTCTCTGGGCGATTTAACTACTCATTACTAAAAAGGTATTGCTTTTCAAATATCCTTTTTACCCAGGTCTTCACTTACACAGTGTGATATTGTCTCTGACCCTACAGGGGACTCATCTAGACATCAGCAGCCGACGTGCCTCGGACGGAACCCTTCTTACGCATCTAAACGTAAAATAAAAGCATGAGCTGCTGAAATCATAGACTCTGTATTGGGTTAGTCAGCCAAGGGGAGAAAAGAAAGAGCTAGAAGAGATGGTGAAGTGACCACTGCCTGTTTATAGCCATTTCCACATAGAGAAGGAGGTTCTGAGGTCCTTTTCGTGCTCTTGGTCTAAAGAAAATGTTTCAAAAGGATTTTTTTGTTTGTTTTTTTTTGCACAGCATAAAAAATGTGTACCTATGCTTGAATCTAGGAAACAAGTATGTAGAGTGATGATGTAACTTCATCAAAGACAGCCAAGGGTCAATGAACCGTTCACCGATAAGAGAAAATGCTCAGATGGATGGTCTGGCTCATCCTTCTATAGTCCTTGGACCAGACGGGAAGCCATGAGGAACGGCCACCTCCGTGGCTTCTGAGACTAACGTCCCTCCGAGAAGTTCTTTGTAGGAAGTTTCTTGAAAACAGGAAAGTGGGAAGGAAGAACAAGCGAGCACAGGAACCATGCGTGAAGGACAGACACAGGGATGAATCAGAAAGGACAGGAATTCATAACAATCTGTAGACAAGTAAAAACCTCACTGTGAAGATGAAGGAGAAGAAAGAACAGAAAAGGAATAAATACAATACATACACTTCTAAACCTCAACCCTCTCCTTGCACCCCAAAGAAGTGCGAGTTGAGAATAAACACAAAAGGTTTGCTCAAAGGATTCTCTGGTCGCTTTGCCTAAACCCGGAATCATTCCTCTCATGCCTAACCTCTCCCGATGTTATTCCTTCTCTCCAGGGCCAAAAGCCAGGTGAAAAAATCCAATTCTTAAAATATTTCAGAATTAAGAAGGGCAGTACACTGTATCCAATTCTATCATCCAGTATCAGAGAAACGGGACCTCAGGAAAAGGGACATGCCTCCGTGGTGAAGAGGACTTGCAAGCCTTAAGCCTCTTCAGGAGGCAGTGCATTCTGGGGAGGCCTAGAGGCATGATGTTGCCCACTCTGAAGATGCTCACGAATCAGCTATTAGATGTGCAATGGAGCACTCCACCCAGTGACTTGAACAAAATAACTGAAATGGGGTTGTATGTTAAGATGGTCAGCACTTAATCTGAAATTTGCCTTAAGATGCTGTTGAAATATGTACCGCCAACCCTGAACCAAGGATAGATTCCTACCAACTTCTTGGGGGGGAGTTAGGTTGAGTCACGTGGGTGTGATAATGATGACAGCTTCTAATAACTTGGGCTTCTGTGAAGCTACTTGCCTGTCTGACACCTCCTTTTCCAAGTGTCATTGCCAACTCACAAATGACAGCCTTGCAGGGAGCAGTGGCAGAGTCTGCAGGCCCCTGCCATAGGCGGGAGTGAGTTAGCACCTTCTTGTCAGGGCTTTCGTCGTGTTAGCCCTTCTTGTCAGGGCTGTTCTGTGCTCAGGTATCAGGAGACTGAGGGTTTGGGAGGGAAGAGGAGGACCCCCCTGGGGGAAGAAGAGGTCTCAACCATGTTCCATCCAAGGGGTCCAGAGCCCAAACCAGGGAGGGCTCCACTCATCACCCTGCAACTGTGAGCGCTCTTCCTCACGCTGTGGTCAGCTCCCCAACATAAAAATCAACACCCAAAAAAGAGCCTCTTCTGAGAGTTCAAACCCATAAAAATAAGTCTGTTTTCAGTTCTGTTGTGGTGTTGATAAATGCCAAGGCTGAACCAGGAGTGTAAGTGAGAATGAGGGTGCCATGCTGCTTTCTTTTGAATGTTCGGCCGACAGCAGCTGCTCACGAGGGCTGAGGAAGAGCCAGCGGGTATCGCTGGGGCCTGCACTCCTGGAGGGAGTGAAACTACACAAGGCAGCAGAGAAGGACTCAAAGGAGCGGCGGTGATGGTGATGGTGATGGTGGTGATAGTGGTGATGGTGATGGTGGTGGGTGACTGAAGGGCACCTGACTCCTGAGTCGGGGAAGACAGAAGTGGGTGAAGTAGGTGAGAGGCATGGGAAGGAGGACAGGACATACCCTGACTTACTCTTGCCTAAGTATTTTGACTGGGTCACCCTAAAAATGAGGGGGTAAGCACGCTCGCCATTCGATCACCCCATTCCCGAGAGCCAGAACTCAGGAGTCAGACGAGTAGGAGAAACTGATGTCAGCGAGGCTTCCACGGTCTGGCCTGGAAACCGAACCCCAATTTACATTGTTTTCTCTATGGGAAATCATGTTCCAAATTTCAAAAAAATCAACTTGAAAACTTTTGGAACAAAACCCATTCATAAGCTGGAGACTGCCTGACGTTTACTTTATGTATAAGATAAGGTTATAACATTTATTGCCTTATAAAGAAAGTATGCCCCAGTCCCTTCAGAAGGTTTGTATAAAGCTAATTAGAAGCAGATCTGCCGTAATCACCCAAAGTAAGCAATTTTAAACAGATTCTTTACGATGCTCCGTGCCAGACAAATAGATTTCTTTCCGTGCCAAAGAACCTGATTTGCTGCCACTCTCGAGTGATTAACTGGAGTTCCTGCCTCACACACAGGCATTTGTCAAACACGCCCGCCTGCAGGGCTTCCAAAACAAAGGCTGCTGGCAGGACTCGGGGTGACTGCATGGAAACCACTAGCCTACCCTGGACATTCCTGGGGCTCACGTCCCCCACGGGGCCTGACTTTCAACTGAAAAGAAGTGCAGTTCAGAGCAAAAGCAAAAGCAGCCGTGTGAGAGAAGAGGAAGTCAGGAAGAACCGGGGGAGGGGGGGGGGGGCGCGGGAATGGGGTGCTCAGGCACTCAAGGGCCTGCTCACCGGTCATGGGGAGGTGAGTGGGTTTTAAGTTTGAAAAGTGGCAGGCTGACCTCCAGGCCAAGGATCACCAGTACTTCTGCCTAAAGCTTAAAAAGAAATGATTCCTTGCTAGGTGTGGGAGGAGAGGAGGCTTTTCTGGAATCAGTGATAAAACCACTCCTCTTATCTTTTCTACCGGAGAGCTAACTAGGACTTCCTGTGCTAACATTAGTAACTTACTGTGATAGCAAAATGAGCCAAAGGCAACTTGGCCTGATAAAGCGGGTCTCCTAGGACTGCGAACCTGATATCATCAAAGAGAACGGATGAATAAAAAAGAGTTTACAAACAATTGGACACCTTACTGGTAACACTCTAAATCAAGAAAGCTCTCGTCTACTTCTGTGAAAAGATCAACAAAAGAGAAATCAGAACATGTGAAGAGATGTTAGTGTCTACAAAACTTGATTTTGACAAGGACATACAGATTAAGGAATGGCTTCTAATGATACTCTTCTTAATTCTAAGTCTATACTTACTAAGCACACACACAGTACTGGAAAGGAAAAGTAGGGAATTTCCACAAAACAGGAGGTCTTACTGTTTCTAATTCTTTCTGGGTCTCATCTTCCATTCGCCTAATATCTTCCATCGTCAGATCAATCCACTTGTCAATCCAACAGAAAAGCTGGCGATGAAAGTTTGTAAATATCCTTTTTTCTTGCTTTTAAAACAAAGAAGAAAGAGTAGCGTAAGACAGTAACACTCTGACATTAATGACACATGAACTTTATATGTCCCAATTAACACATGAAATCTACATACGCTTGGTTTGAAAAGACTACTATGTCGATTGGTGAAATTCTTAATTTCACACCATTACCATTTTGTAAGACAAAATAAAGATTTCCTTGTGAAATATGAAACAGTCTCTCTTTGCAAAGGAAGTACGATTTACGAGAAACTGAAAAAAATAGTAAATGTGATGAGTACATGCTAATCCTGCATAAACTCCTGCTGGGCCCGATTTATTATTACCTTTTCTAAATGTCAATCACCACAAGGTCAACTCAAATTTCTAACTTTTCTGTATTTCAAAGGACTACTGTGAGGTAGAATACAATAACATCCTGAGAGAGGAGACCTGGGTTCTTGGAATAAGATGTTTGATTAAGTTTAAGAATTATTACAAACTCTCCATTAATTTTTCTACTCTAATGTTACTGCATATATATATGTATAGTGCATATATAAATAAACCTTATATATAACTAGTGATTTTAGTTGCTGGATTATTTAAGTTTTATTAAACTTTTCCAAGGAGAGAGAAAAGTGTACTGAAAAGTGAGTACTTTACTATTTTTGGACAGCCTTCAACTTTTACAATTTTCCCATGAACAGAAGGGACTCCATCAATTATATGTGTGACTTCTATTTATCAGAACTAGATTGCTAATCTATTACTATGATCCAAGAGGAAAGAAGGAAGCCAATATTTACAGAGTGCCTGCTGTGGGCCAACTGTAAGCAGGCCCAGGAATCATCAGTTTCCAGACTTTAAGATGCTTTTTTTTTTTTTAAGCGTTAGAGCAGTTACAGTTTAAAAGTAAGAAAATTATGGTGAAACTCTGCCACCCCAACCCATGTGGGTTCCAGAGATACAAAAGGGGCTTTTGAATAATGATAACGGGTACACATTCACCCTAGAGGAAAAGCAAATACCCAAAACTTTCATATTCCTTCTGTGCTTGCAGCCATGTCTGTTTTTATACAACTGCGGTTCTCTCCTCATTCTAGCTCAATTGTCCCTGCAGCTTCCACTTGAACAAAGAAGTCATCAAAAAGGTGATTAGAATTTGGATCCTTAGATTATGTTACCCTGGGCTCAGAGTGTAACTGTTCTTTGCGAAGACCCCCAAAAGGAGACATGCTACAAAGAAGTGAAAAGCACACATGTATGTGTATGTGGGGAGAGATCTGGGAGAGGGGGAGGGACATCGAGCTGAGCTGGGACAAGGAGCACCTCATCAGGTAAGGCCTGGCCCCTCCCTCCAGCCAATGCTGGGACCCTGTGCCCCTTGGGGCCATGCTGTATGTGGCCAAGGCTCTATACAGGAGAGCGGGGCGAACCAGCAGGAAAGCACTGTGAACAAAAAATGTTCTAGTCTCGCCCTACCGGTTTGGCTCAGTGAATAGAGCGTCGACCTGTGGGTTGAAGGGTCCCGGGTTCAATTCCGGTCAAGGCCACATGCCTGGGTTGCAGGCTCAACCCCCACTATGGGGCATGCAGGAGGCAGCAGACCAATGATTCTCTCTCATCACTGATGTTTCTAGCTCTCTCTCTGCCTCTCCTTCCTCTCTGAAATCAATAAAAAAATATATATATATATATTTTTAAATGCTAATCTTGGCTAAAGCAAGCCCCTGAAAACCTCTGCTGGCATCTGTCCGGGCTGTTTCTAGGGAAAAAAGAAGGGCAGGGATTTGATACAGGAACAGTAATTTTTACCTCCCGAGAAAAAAAAGAAGTGGTAACAGAGAAAATATCCCAGGAACAGCTTCCTCAAATCCCAAGCTGCATGTAAGTCACTGCATTCTTAGCAGGCTTTACCTTCTGGATGAAGTTTTCTACTTTGCTCTGCAGCCCCCACCACTTGAACTTGATGGTCACCAGCTTATAGGCACACATCTGAGGGCAGTCGGGGTTGTTTGCCAGCTCCTTCTAGATGAGGGACATTGAGAAAAGGAGAAATCGGGACTTCGATATTTATGTTTAGATGAAAACTGACAGCTGTGTAATGACATCACAGATATGCATGAAGAATATGATAATCTCATATGTGTGTTTAACTTAGGTATTTGGATATTTGAAATCTTTTTGGGAAAAGCAGAATTCCCCCGCTGCGACCATCCTTCCACCAACCAAGTTACTTCCTGACTCCACAGTTTAATAGGCGCATTGCTCTGTCTCCGATTACACTATTCAGATTTCATATTAAACACCGAATTCTATTCACATGGCACCCACAGTGAGCCTTCAACACGTAAGTGTTCCCGTAAAGCGATTAGCGTTCTCCCACCACGAAGGCGCTGCGGCACAGGAAGAGGCGATGAGGTTAGTTGCCTTCTTGTCTTCGCACACCGGCACGTGGGGGGCTGGGTTGTTAAGTGAGGTGTTCTCGGCGGAGTGGGTATGCAAAGGGATGCAGCAGCAAAACCGATCTGCATCAAGTCTTCCAGGGCAAATCCCAAACATCCGGACTTTAATATCCACAAATGATTACACCTGATAGTTTAGATGGTGAGGACCGGGAATCAAATCAAGAGTTGTTATGGTAAAAACAAAAAAAGGGGTGGGGGAAAGAGAATACACACACATACACACACACACACACACACAGACACACACACGTATACATCCTTCTCTCTCTCTCTCTCTCTCTCTCTCTCTCTCTCTCTCTCTCTCTAATAAGGGAGAAGAGTAGGTAGGCTATCTGAATTAAGAGACTAAAGAAACAAAATATAATGTCTACAATTTACATAAAGGGAGCAATAAGAATTTGGATCCTCGGATTATGCCACCCTAGATTCACAGAACTTTTAGATCCAGTCAAAAAAACTTTAAAATGTGTGTTTGTGTGGAGAGAAGGAGAAAGAGGAAGAGGAGAAATGAGAAGAGGGGAAAACAAATATGCAAAGTGTCAACAGCTGTTGCACGTATGTACGTGGAGGTGTTCGCTGTCTTCTTCCGGCTTTCTGGCTAGTGCTGAAGCTTTGGTTATAAAACGGGCAGGGCGACTGCAGTCCAAGGTCTTCCTGACCACTTCTGTGGTGCTCAGTGCAGCCTCTGCCTTAGGATCCAGACAGTAGGTGACTGTGGGGTTGAGCCAGGAGCTCACAGCTTCCAGGGTGGTGTGTACAAAAGACCAAGACTCCTGGGCTGAGCCGGAAGAGAGCCTGCACTGGGCTCACAGCAGCGAGCAGATGCAGACCTGGTCTGACCCGCAGAGCTCAGTTTAGGGCAAAAGGCAGGTTCTTATCAAGAATCACAGATGGCAGAGAGGGGCTGCAGGTATAGTCTAGGGCAGTGGTGGGCAAACCGGGGCTCACGAGCCACATGCGGCTCTTTGGCCCCTTGAGTGTGGCTCTTCCACAATTACCACGGCCTGGGCGAGTCTATTTTGAAGAAGTGGCATTAGGAGAAGTTGAAGTTTAAAAAATGTGGCTCTCCAAAGAATTTCAATCATTGCACTGTTGACATTTGGCTCTGTGGACTGATGAGTTTGCCGACACTGGCTAGGGAAAGGGCCAGTGTATGAACTCTAAGCCGCAATGCTTACAAGATGAAAGCTGCATCTCAAATCTAACTAAGACAGTTCCGCCAGTGCCATGCTTAGCTGGTGGAACTCAAGGGCATAATACATGCTAGCTCTCTCTCTCGCTCCTTCGTTCTTTCATAGTCATATTTACCACTTGGAATTTGAAAAAAAAAAAAACCCAAAAACTAAATAAAGCTTCTTAAAAGAGCAGAAAGTCGTGTGTAACACTACGGGGACCCTTTTCATAAAAACCAAATTATGGAGTGAAAGATAGAGCAGCCTTTTCCATTGTTCTCAGCTTCACACAGCATTCAAGGCACCACAATGCCGGCATCAGTCACAGCGTGCCACTGTCACTTCCTGTCACTTCACCTCACTCACACACCCCGCTTTCAATAAGCTCGTTGTATGAACAAATATTCTTTCTATTTAGCCACATATACATGAATTAAAAAAAAAAAATGATGAATTTCAAGGTCTTATTCTAAAACCTCAAGATTCTTCTTCATTTGTGGAATCATAGCACCAGAGCACAGTCCCTCCTTAACTCTCAGTAATGTTCCAGTTTCAAGTGAATTCTAAGGATAAGATATAAGAAAAAAAATTCTAATACGTTGATATTATTAATAGAACTCAGTGTCCTAGAGAGTCCTGAATGACTGATCAGCTTTTATCAGAAAAATCTCTTCTGCAGTAACAGTTCACTTTTGAATAATGAGCTGGTCCATGACTTAAATCAATGGGGTAACATCAGAAGCATGTAAATAAGATTTTTACATACAGCAAACCGTCCTTTTCCAGGTGCGTTCTAGTCAACAGAGGAACTTGGCGAGCTCAGCTCTATTTTTCCACGATTTCCCTCCCATAAAACAGAGCACCACTGTGAAAATTGGGTAAATGTGCGCATGCCCCCCCACCCCCACCGCATACTTTATGAACAAGTTTAATCCAGTTAAGTGTTAAGTGGGTGCCATTTACAACCCAATCTGTGCTAGGTATTGCCAGAGGAACAGAAGTGGCTGACAGAGAGGAGGGTAGTTATGTTCTCAGCAGTGATGAAACCACCACTCTTGGTGCCAGCCGTCTCCCGGAAGGGGCACCCTTCTGCTGGGGCTGCTTTGGCCCCGGGCACAAACCACTTATCTGCAACTGCCCACCCCTCCATGTTCTCCTGTGTGCCTTCCACGGCACACAGCTTCTGAGTGCCCAGCCTTCCTGAGATAATGACACGGCCGGTCTTTCAGAGATCATTTTCCAAGAAGCAATGAGCGAGTGCTGAGGTCCCCTCTAACCCAATGAGTGTCACTGAAGACCTTCATCTGAAACACCATTTGGATATCTGTAGACTATAGGTCTATGATCCAGTCCATATTTAATTTTTCCTCATTTTAAACTTCTAAAGCAAACACACACACACACACACACACACACACACACACACACACACACACACATATATATAAACACGGAGTTATCAGAAATATTCTTGTGGGGGGAAAATGCATACATTTTAAAATGTGAAAAGTCTTAATGAGACAAATATTTGGAAGCCCCTCCCCCGTCAGAGCAGAATCCAAGGGGCTCCCTCAAGAAGGCTCACTTGCTGGGGGACAGGACAAAGCTTCTTAAACAATATGTTTTCCGAATCTTTGCTCTTCATCAGTTGAAAAAAAAAAACAGCCATAAAGCAGGCAAAACAGGATTAACACTCCTAATCTACAAGTAAATAGAATTATTTTGCTGATAAACACAAGGTTTATATAGATTAAAGCATAAAAATTTTAAAGAGTAATTGAAAATAAAAGGTAAAATATGCTTGGTTACCAAAAGACAAGAATAATCAGAAATTCTATAAAATGAAAACCAGGGGCTAACAGAAGAACCCAAAATTATGAGTCATCTCTACATAGTAATTTAAATTGCATCTGTAACAGAGTTGTGAAATGTTCCCCTAATTGTATTTAGTTTGTGTGTTCACTGAATTCCTTGCATTTCACATTTCTTACTATATATGAAGCCCCCAAACTCAAATCATGGTTTTAATTTAACGACACATATTAGGTTACGCTGAGGTATGTGGAGGAGGCCTAAGGGAGTTAGTAATGTATACCGAAGCCACACAACGGAACTAAACAAAACCCAAGCATGTTTAACTGGAATGGTGAGCAATCAGCCCATGTTACCACAAGAACTAGTTTCTTGTATCTATGACAAACAAAAATACACAAATGTACGAGAATTTAAAAAAACAAAACAAAAAAAAACCCTCACACAACCACAACCAAAGGCATTCTGAAAACTCAATTTCTAAAAATAGTCTCTCGCAGTCTTGTGCTGCATACCAACTCCCCATACACACGTTCTTATTTAAAATGTATTGGGATGAAGATGGAATAGGTATATGCCACCTTCAACCAAAGGCGATGCTTTGCAAGAACACAGCAGTTTCTAAAAGACACACACTCGCTTCATATCTTCATTTCTCAACTTAAGAGAGTCTGAATGCTCAATTTCAGCTGCTGATTTGGTAATGTAAGTTTCCAACCCAGATTTCACTAAGCACGTTAAAAATAAATGATCTGCTGGGGCTGTTGCCAGTACACGCATCAGTAAATATCAACACAAGATTATAGAATATATGTGGAATGTGTGTACTGAGATTTCAAGCAAAACCCAACTCCCTGACTCACAAGCCATCTCCTCAATTCTGTTTAGATTTTGCTAGTCATTTTGATAGACCTACACCGGACATATATTCTAAGTATATGGCAAGTCCAACATTTGATTTTTATTTGGTTTAAAATAGTTACCTGAAATCTAGTAAATATCAGTATCCACTGTGAGCAAACATCTGTGCTAGACAAGCTAAGTCAGACACAGAGCTTATGGCTGACAATTCAGTGAATAATGTGGGACAAACACAGGAGGCTGGGGAAGGGAGACGGAGGGAAAACTTAAACCCCTTCCCTGACACAGACATACCAGTGCCATGAGAAGGTCATCAACAAAGGCCCCCAGAAGGGTTCAGAGGTAGAAGGTCCCTACCTGTCCGGGCAAATGAGAAATGTTAAACGGAAGAAATAAACGTGAGATCAAGTTCAAAAGACTGAACTAATTGTAAGTTCAACTAATGTCACAAAAATAAGCAAAATGAAGTTAGGGCAGGAAATGTACTGCCTATGCAAAGATAATCATGCCCATTTTCCATGTTTCCAAACTTAGTGTTTTTTGGAGCTCACACCCATTTTACTAATAACAGCGATGACATGCTTCATACTTGTGTCCAATTACTCTAGGAGTGCCACTATGTACAAGTGAAAACATAAGTTCCTCCCATAGCTGGCCATCCTCCCGCAGTCTCTCTCCCCAGCCAGGTGTCCCAGTGGCCCCGATTGGGGATGGC